TTTATCAACACGGTAGAGTATTTTACCATTCAATAATGAATAGTAATAATAATAATGATAATGATAATAACAACAATGATCATGACTATGATGAAATAAGGAAAATAATTTTTAATAATGATAATAGTAATGATTAGGATAATAATGATGATAGTAATAAAAATAATGATAATAATGATGTTAATAATAGTAATAATAATAGTAATAATAATAATAATAATGATAATAATAATAATAACAATAATAATGATAATAATAATAATAATAATAATGATAATGACAAAGATAATGATAATGATAATGATATTGATAATAATAATAATAATAATAGTAATAGTAATAATAATAATAATAATAATAATAATAATAATAATAATAATAATAGTAATGATTATAATAATAATAATAATAATAATAATAATAATAATATTAATGATAATGATAATGATAATAGTAATAATAATAATAATAGTAATAATAATAATGATGATAATAAAAATAATGATAGTAATAATAATGATAATAATAATAATAATAATAATAATAATAATAATAATAATAATAATAATAATAATAATAGTAATGATAATGATAATACTGACAATGATAATAATAATAATAATGATAACAATAATGATAATAATAATAATAATGATAATAATACTAATAATAATAATTATAATAATAATAACAATACTACTACTACTAATAATAATAATAATAACAATAATTATAACAATAACAATAACAATGATAATGATAATAATAATAATGATAACGATGATAATGATATTAATGGTGGTGATAATGATAATAATAATAGTAATCATAATAATAATAATAATAATAATAATAATAATAATAATAATAATAATTATTATTATTATTATTATTATTATAATAATAATGATGATAATAATAATAATAATAGTTATAATGATAATAACAATAATAATAACAGTAATAATTAATAATTGATAATAACAATAACAGTAATAATCAATAATTTAATATGATAATAACAGTAATAATTAAAATATTAATAATAATGATAATAACAATAATAACAGTAATAATTAAAATATTAATAGTATTGATAATAATAATAATAAAATAATAATAATAATAATAATAATAATAATAATAATAATAATGATAATAATAATAATAATAATGATAATGATAATAATAATAATAATGATAATAATAATAATAAAATAAAATACTACTACTACTACTACTACTACTAATAATAATAACAATAGTGATAATAGTAATAATAATAATATGATTAAAGATGATTAAAATAATTAAAATTAAAATAGTAAGAATCATAATAATAATAAGGTTAACAATAACAGTATTGATAATAATAATAATAGAAATAATAATCATAACAATAATAACGATAATAATAATAATAGTAATGATAATAATAATAATAATAATAATGATGATAACAATAATAATGATAATGGTAATAATAATAATAATAATAATAATAATAATAATAATAATAATGATAATAATAATAATAATGATAATGATAATGATAATAATAGTGATAATAATAATAATAATGATACTGATAATGATTAAAATAGTAATACTACATTGATATTAATAATGATGTTAAAAAAATAATAATGACGATGTTAACAGTAATGATAATAATAATAATATTGATAATAGTAATAATGATGATATACTAATGCTACTACTACTAAAAATAATGATAATGATAATAACAATAATAATGATAATTATAATAACTGTACTACTACTACTACTACTAAAAATAATAATGATAATGATAATGATAAATAATAATAATGATAATGACCATAATAATGATCATAATGATAATAATAACACTGATTATCATGATAATGATAAATGTTAACAATAATAATGAAAAAAACAACAATAACAATAATAATGATAATACTAATAATACTAATAATAATGATAATCATGATAATGAGAATATTAATAATCGTAATAATAGTGATAACAACAAATACAAATAATGATAATTCTATTGGTAGCAACTTAACAACAATATTTTTATTGGTAACGAACAGTGCAGCACTTACCAAAAAATGTTTAAGGATTTCTGTTATTAACGTTGCAGAACCCATCATTCACTCAAATGTATTGCAACCCAACCTAGCTGATTTTTTTTTCTAAATTATTGAAAGTTATCTTAATTAGTACCTCATTTTCAAATCACTCCTGCCACATCCAACCACCATTACCTTGAAATCCTGAAGACGAGAACTACACTGACGAAGCAGAGGACCAAAAGAAAGAGACCCAGGAGGCAGGTCCTTCTCCTTCTCCAGATCATCGCTTATTTGGTGCTAAAGGCTGTCTCTCATAGGCTTGAGCATCGAGTCTGATTTTGAACTAAGTACTTCACTCTCATAAGTAACACTGAATATTTACAGTACATTGGTTTCTTTCGTAGTTTTAAGGGTCACTGGTATGGTTACATCAT